CTTTAGAACTGATATTATGGCCGTATATATGATTCAGTGAGACTAATGAGTTCTCACTTCGAAGAATATTATTCCAATGAATAATTCAATGTGCTCGCGTCTATATGGTCTTCATGATATGAAATATTGCCATTCTGAATATTTATTGATCTTTAGATCAATCAAAAGGGATAATGTTTATGATTTGTTTTCAGTTACTAAACGTCAATGATGCTTGTCAACTTTATGGTAGTAAACAGTATAAATATAGATCATGTACGGTCTATACTTATCACGTTTGGTCGAATGCAGAAATACCATCGATATTTTAATCGTAGCATGAATAGTTAGCATACAATCATTAGCCATACATTACAGCTATTCAAATCAATCTCTAAAGAATTCATAAACGAACTGTACTTACATTATTTTGGTATCATAAACTATGTGAAACAGGTCATCTATGCAGGATATACAAACTGAAGTTACACTATCAATACAGTCGTGCTCATCGGATTACTTTCACTTATACGGTACCATTTGATATCTTAGAGCATTATATACGGTCATTTGTGCACCAGAGACTAACGAGACACTACGCGACGTTGCTCATGTTTAGACACGTCGCATGCTTCTGTCTCGTTTCATTTTACCAATAAATTTTGTCATAGCTAATTAGTGTCTTTCATGTTTTATCAGCACTCATCAACGATTGGAATGATACAACACGTGCTCTAGAAAGATCTGCCAAATGTTCGCAAAGGCTTCACAAGTCTTGCATAACTATCGTGTTCATTGGATTGTGTACCGCGTGGTTCGATCTAGAAGAAGTACAAAGATATAAACATAAGATTAGAATAGTGAATTCATGAGAGATTTGACAAGTTATTACTACTGATGGCTCCTAAGATTTGACGGAAGCATACTGCATGAACAGTATCTGTAAACTAATATATTATTTTCATAGACTCAAAAACCCATTCAATATTAATGATGATAAAGCTTAAAAATCAAATATTTTTAAGAATCGCGCTTTATAGTGTTGTACAGCAGTCAACGAAAGCTTTTGGTTGATCTATGAAGGTGTTCAAAAATATTGCTACGATCTTGACAATAATAGGAAAAAATCTTAATTGAATGTAGCTAAAATAAAATATAATGCCTATAACCAAGCTCGCAGATTCATTTTTCCGTCGAATGCTTAATGATATTACATTAACTTAATCAGTACTATTGGTGATTTATCATCATGCAGTTTTTTGTTATAGATTTCTGACACTTTCATAATAGAAGATACTGATGGAATCGATACATGATTACAATATGCTATTTACGTAGCTGCCTGAAAAACAATAATGATAAAATCCTAGACGTGATATTGTCCACAATTATATATTTCAAATATGATTTGATTATTTCGGCTTAAATCTTCATTAGATAATAAAATGCATTTGCCAAAATATTTTAATGTAAAAAAATTGAGGCAATCAACTATTCCGTCAAATCTCAGTTGAAGTCTCTGTAGGTACCATTTAAGGAAGTTCGTCGAAATAAGGAAAATAGTGAAACAAATCGAGGACACATGAGAGTCGTAATATCGGACAAAAAGAATCAAGTGTTTGTAAAGTATGGAAGTTCTATGTCTTAGTAAGACTAAGACCTATCGATACGCCATTATGACTCTCCAGTGACCTCGATTCATTTCACACGTTTCTCTTAACTCCTATGAATTCTTTCAACGACGTCCATAAGTTTCCCAAAAAGAACGAAAACAAAGCTCCAAAATCATAAATATCCATATTTTATCATGCGACTCATAATATTTAAAAGAAGCACATAATATAATATTCTTGCTTGAGGGTGTGGAGTGTGGGTGGACGTGGTAGATCAAGAGTAACGTGCACACCCACACCCAGGCAATCTATCCAAGTTCATGAAAAAACAAATTGTTGCAGCGTTTAAGTAGAGTTTTCGAATGATGAAGCCTTATTCGATTCTAAGGAAAGAATACTAAACAATAATTTATCTTTGGTTTTTGATGAACTTCTGACTACGACATAAAAATGGATGCGAAACCAAATCTTAGCAGCTAAATTCCATAGTTATGAGACTTCGTAAAGGTTCATGGTAATCAGAAATTCTCTTTTCCGTAATTGAGTTTCTCATGTAGTTAGTCATGTATGAAAATCTTTTTAGAATATTATTGTGAAGATTGCGTCCCACAAATGAGATCATATGCAAAACTTGATGTATCACAAATAGAAACATTAGAGAAAAAACTGCCGACTGTTTCGACATTGCCACTTTTATTTATTTATTTCCTATTCTTTTTTTATAGTTATTTCAGGGGGATAGACAACCTCCAATTTGTGCAAAGTATGATCGGACGTCCCAAAAATACTGAGATTCTTTTTATTTAATTTCAATTTTTTGACTGTATAGGAGTTTCTGTTCATCATTCCGTTGTCGGTTGTTTTTATAAGTTCAACTTGATGATTTACGAAAAACTCTTCGATTTAGTTCTTCGAATATATGACATAAACATTGAACAGACAAAATTATATAAAAGACAACTTGTTATTATTGTTTTGTCGAAACTATAGGGTGTAGGTGCAGGTATTGGCGACGAGAAGATCGACATCCAAACCCCACAATCATCCATATACACACTCAAAGTCAAATGCATACACACACACATATCGGCTCCTCAAGTTTTCTTGTGCTGCAGTATGTGCTTCAAATTGGTTAGTACGATTGCTGATCAAGCAATGATTCATTCTGGTGATTTATCATCGATTTGAAAAAAATCCTCTCTTATTGCTAGAATGGCGATGAAATTTCAGTTCATAACTGATCTCTGTAAGAAATTTGATTAATCGTAATTTTATGGGGGTCCTGTTGGAAACCGTCAAAATCATCAGAATGTTCATGAGACGGGTAAGATTATTTTCATTCCATTCTATGGGTATGTTTTTTCTATCTATAACTCTACATTGTGTTTTGTTAACGTTTCAGATCGGATCAGTAACTCACATTTGCACTCATTTCACTGTGCAAAAGATAATCTAAATCATTTTCCTGCGCTTAGGTATTCTTAGCAAGTACTTGTTGTCAAGTTCCACATCAACAACTAAGATAGGTAGCTTGTATTCGCGATACTTTGAACGTTTCGCGAATGTAATTTTTAGCTGTGATCGAGGCCTTTTTGTCAAGTCTTTAACGGAGTCCTATGAGAAATATTCGATCGAGCGACAATAGTGACTTTGCCGGGTATTTTTAGTGTAAGCAAAACGATACAGATGCTGTCTGTCATATGTGCTAAGACAACAAATCATCTTATGTGTAATTCAAACTCAAAACAAATACAGGAGATTATATGCGGTCGTATTTATATAGAGATCTTCGTCAAATGAACATAAGGATCCTAAAGGATTAGGAACGTCATGGGCGCTGTTTGGAAATTTTCATTGACCATCGGAGCCAGTTTATGGATTGTCACAGGATCCTTTTTCACTTTCGTTTTTGTCTATCTTCTTGAGACTATCGATTGGTAAGTAATCAACAACTGCATAGCTGTCACAAATCTTGGATTATTTTAATGTATCTTTCGAGAAAACTTCACTTTCAGTATGTTAAGAATCATTATGATGATTTTGTCGGTCCGACAGCAAAATACATTTATTGCCATTTGAACTTTGAGGAAGATGCTTACCCTGCAGCCATCGGGTACCGACGACTATCTTACAATTGAAGCCCCAAGGCAATTTTTATGGAAACTATCGAAGACTTCTTGGCTGTTTTTGGTCGGAATACATCACATCAGCAGAAAATCAACAGAACATAAGAGAAATCGGTCGGTTTCGATTGAGTAAAATTTCTCTGTGGATAGAACTCTTGCAAAAGTGCATATTGTCAATCTACAAAATTCCTTTGCAAAGGTTTTGATATGCATTATATAGAAGTTAAATTAATAATAGAATTCAATAAGTACGCGACCGAACTCTACTCAGTCTGCGTTCAACTTTAGTAACTACCACTCTGTAGAAAAGGCTTATTTTCGATTTTGAAGAGTAGCATTTGCACTTGATTTGATGTGGGCCAACAATTCAAATTCATTTCTTGTTATATGTTGCTCTCAAAGCCTCGATTTTCAAGTATATAATAGTATTGCATGAGATTTTCGTTATCAGAAGAAAAGCTTTCTTACCGCAAGAAATACTACATTTCGTTCGATGTATATTCTTTATGGACAACGAAATCGGCATTTTTAAAGTTGGCAATAAATATTTGGTATCTATTGAATATGTAATTCATCTATTCGAGGTGTCTACTTTTTTGAAAGACTTTCGTCACATATGGTCAATAAGGCATTGTCTACGATCTTTTGTCAGCGAGAAAAGTTACACTTTTCATTAATTTCACCTCAAGCCATGTATGGAATGCTTTTGAATCGTAAGACATAGTTGGAGAAATCTTTAAAATCTATTTTATTTTGAGAAAAAGAAAAAAAATAGTGCAAATTTCAAGATTAAATTATTTGAAATTAACACTATTGGTTTATGTTTTCTTATTTGAGTTAATGTGAGTATTTGGACAGATGCAAACTATCAGTATTTCGACATTTACTGCCATAGGGACATTGCGTTGTTTGATGATTACCAACTTCTTTAGGTTTGTGTTGTTGCTCGTCGGGGTGCGAAAACTTTGACTGATGATCAGAGTCACTTGTATTATAGCAAGCGGAACCGAAACGGCAAGGTGTTCGCGAACGATCTGGATCAGCAGAAGACTTAGGTCTACATTCGGATGGATGAGAATATTGAGAACAATGTCGAGAATTATTTTGTTCGCGACATTTTGAGCCATATCGACAAAGTTTTTGCTCATCGTTACTTTCATGACGATTATGTTTCTGTCCACAGTAACTTTCAGATGATAATGATGACGCTTGAGAAGGCGACCCTTTTGATTGAAGAAAAAAAAACGAAGAGAGAAAATTAGTTTTGATTTTTCTTTTGACTTCAAAGAAAAAAATACTTACGTGATTTGTCACCTGTTCCTCTTCGTTCGACATTTTCACCGTGCGAATATTTCATTCGATGCTCTGTTGATCGATTTTGACAAGCTCGTTGATCGCGACATGGAACAAGAAAATCAGGAAAACCCGTATGGCGATACGCCGCTCGGTGGAAAGCGTCGTCGAGACTTTTACATGATCTACCATGTAAACAGATGTCTACTCGATGTGGCTCGTGTGTTAAATGTGGTTCTTTATCTTGATTACGACAAAGTTCAGAGAATCGACAAGGATGAGAATATCGGTTACAGTGGTCTTTTGATGTTTGTTGAAGACAATTAATTGAATTGGAGCATGGTCGTAGTTTTTCTTTATCAATATCAGAACCCAAGAGGCTATCAATGAACTGATTAAGTTTGGAGAAAGTCGATTGTGATTTATCGTCTGTCGATTTTGCAGCTGTTGCCGATTGACAACGATCAGAACTATGAGGCTTTTGTTGACTAGAAGAACCGCTGTTTCGTTTAAAATTTTTTTCAAATGAAGGATGCAAATCGGGTACTTGATGAAAGCAAACCATCATATTTCGAATAGGTACTTGATGTGAACCAGCACTGACGTGAATATAATTTAAATCATTCAAATCAATATTGGATTTTGTAAATTTATGGGAAATCGTTTCATAATTGTAGATACTATTCGGTCCAGCATGTGAAAGTGTCACTTGACCGGTGTTTTTTTCGAGTTTTAAACAATAATTAACAAAACCATCTACATTACAATTACGATGGAATGTATTTGAATAGGCTAAAAACGAATGTCTATCCATAATAGACGCATGCTGGAATGGATCACCATAATTCAAATACGAATATGATTCTTGATAATCACTTGATGTGGTAGATGGTGTCTCAGCAATATAGCATACGAGGCATTGAATATGTCTCCGGCTTTCAACAGTATCAATTCGTTCATTCGATAATGTGATCATCACATCACCATGCATTGCTTGAAAATAAATGTAGATTTCATTGGAAACTGAATCTTGCTTTTTATTTCGAAGATATTGATCAAAAATTTGCGATATTGTGAAAGGTAATGCGACATGCTCAACAAAACAACTCGATGGTAAAGTGATAACAGTGCCGCGTAAATTTTGTGCACGGTCAATATTTTGGATCTTCTTTCCAGCCAATTGATCAATAACATAGTGCTGATATTCAGTACGATTCTTCTCCAATACACGTGATTCTCTACTAGCTGTAGGACTAAGATTGATTTCATGATTTGTTATATGCAATGCGTCACGAAAAATGGATTTTGCTGACATTTGAGCTGCAGTTGTAAGAGATGCAAAGAGATTCTTCGGTATGTAAACTTCTTCTATGTAATCCAGATGTATTAAATCAGGCAAATGACTTTCGAATACTTGATCTGAATCAACACTTGTCAAATGTTTAATGATTGCTTTCAGATCGACGTCCATTGTTTTCTTGTGTCGACCTGTCGCAGCCATAAGCTCAGCTGCTGCTGAATACTCATATCCAAGTATTGAGCAATGTAATTTCGATTCCTGGAATTGCATGATTCGTTTGTTGAGTGTACCTGAATCCTTGATCCATGGTCTATGAATGAATGTAGATCCATTAAAAAATGAGGCCTCCGGTTGAATGGAAAAGTTCGCATCCGGATGATGCATCACTTGTTGTTTAAACACAAGAACAATATCTCCATAATCATGACGAAGTTGTGGACCAAAAATAGTATAAATATGTTCGTCAGAACTGCATAATTCGTCAGATGTCTTTTGAATACTAGTGGAATTAATCTCAGGATTCAATGATGCTTCAGCCATTTCTATGGCATGTCGGCGAATAATATCAATATCCGTTGGACTTAATTTATCTTTCAAAAACCTCTCTTCTTTACGGATAGTATTGTTAAAGTCTTCATCAGGTGTTGCTATTGTTGATAGTTGAGAAGAAGTAGTTCTTGTATTAGCCATGGTAGGTTTAATTTGATTAGCTCGTTTACTATATTCAATAGAGATAATAGCTTTAATATAATCTTTCATATGGTCTTCAAATGATTGGTTTTTATGTTCTGTGATTATTGATGCAACTTTTTTGTTTCGTTGAATAGTTTGAATTAAGAATTTCGGCATTTGTAGTTCATCTATATGTTTGCAAGACATAACATGACCATGAACGAGTATTAACTCAAAAACTGCTTTTGAACATTGATAAACTGGTCGTAATTCTTTAATGTATTTTAGAATTAAATTTGGAATTGATAGTGGAGCTTTCGATTGCAATTTTTTAGCATAATCGGTAATTGTTTCGATCATTTTCTTTTGATTTTGAACAAAATCTATATGTTTATTTAGTCCACAGTATTGAATGATACTATTACAATCGTAACTTCCATAATGTCGATATCGTTTAATATGTTCGAGTTTTTGTAGATCTCGACACTTGTAGGCTGGAAACTGACATAGACGACGAATATCAGCAATTTCTACATGTGAAACTGAATTCAAATGATCTTCGTCACCAAGTTTTGAACATCTATCTCCGTATGGACACATGCTACGTGCGATATGAATGGTTTTTTCCAAATGTAAACTCGATGTTTCCCGACATTGACGACCAAATCGACACACGTGTAAAAACTCACGACAATGGTTTTGAGCATCAAGTGATACCGCTTGAATATTTTTCGATTCTGATAGTAAAGTATGCTGTCGACAAAGAAATGGCGTAAACGGACAAGTTTGTAGAAGCGAATGACTTTCTTCTGCTATGCGTTTTTTATTATAAACATCATATTCCGTACCCATAGTATTATCATCGTCCAAAGATACATTTCTATCGAGCTTTGCATATTTGCGATTCATGTTCACGCATTGCCTTTCATCACCACTGATTTTCGGATGTTCAAGTTGATTTAAGTTCATGCGATTGTCGATTAATTGACTTTTAGCACCCTGCGAACATTTTATTTGATGTCTAAACCAAAGCATATGATCATTATTGTCCTTTAGTTCGCAATCTTTGGAGCTGTCGGTGTACGGACATAGTGGTGGATGCATATATTCACGACAGTGTTGTTTGTTTTCTAAGTCTCGACATCTGCCTCCATAACGACACGGAGGTAAATAATAAATTCGAACGCCGCTTAAGATAATTTCTTCTTTATTTGTCTCATTGAAAAGACGCCAAGGTCCAATCATCATATCGAGCATTTTCTGTTGCATGGGTTTGATTTTACAACCATCGAATACTTCTTGAAAAGGTCGAAAGTTTCCATGAGGATTAAATTCTTGACCAGTATTGTGATCATCAATAATAGCAAAGCAGATTTTCTTGAAGAATCCTCCATATTGTTCGATAACCGATTTGAATATGGTTGCAACATGTTTAGGTGGATTTCGAAAAGCACCACAGCCAAATGCAGAAAGAACAAGACAATCGTGATTATGATGATGAGCAATAGCAAAGATATTTTCAATTTTCTTACGCATGCCAATCGAATATTTCGAGCTCAAGAGATTTTTATCATTATTATTCAATTTTGGCTCTCGATAAGCAGCTATAGCTATAGCACACACATTGAACATTGGTTTATCCATGAAAGCATAGCCAACATTTTCAGGTTGACGAAAAACTGTTAATCCTGATGTATAGATCGCTCCGAATTCATCCATCGGATACATTCGATCACGTTCAATTAACGGTTTTAATTCACATGTTGATGTACAGTAAAAACGAGCAGTTGGTTTTCCATCATCAAGATCCATGTCAAGACTTCGGAAGTAATCAGAACGACGAAAAAGATTCTCTTCTTGCGCACCATCGCCTCTACGATAACCACCGCCTGGTGAGTGTGCATTCGCCATGTTGAGAAGCAATGGACGATACCCCTTAGAGACTAACTCCTCGTACACAATGAGACAATCTTCATTTACTACACTGACTGATGTACTTGAATACGGATAATCGATTGAAGTAGACAATGGCATAGTCTTACCATGTTGTAGCTTTGACTGATGATTGTAGACAATTGTTTTCAGTTGATCTGAGTTCAACTTAATTTCTTGGTCGTCTACATTGTAACTTCGCTTTTTTACAATACTAATTTTATTGAACTGTACTGTCATTCGTACTATATTACTCTGTGTATTACTTCTTGATTCC